CAGGAAGATTTGAGTCAAGTTCTGCCTCCATTCAGCAGCATTCATCCTTAAATACGCATGTAGGCACACTATTCCGAACAGCAATGGGCTTCCTCCCTAAACGCTGAAAGCTGTGGTTGTCTGCTTCTGCCAGGTAGAAACCAATTTCCCATAATATTCCTGGCCTTTCCAGTCCTGATTCTTACAACTCCTGTCTTTCCAGCAATTTTTCTGGTAAGGTATACATGCTAAAGCCAACTTAATAGCCAGTCTGCATGTGTTCTTGTCCTGTGGCTTATTTGTGTCATAAAGAATGTTTTTAATGGGAAGGAGGAGGCAGCAATTTAGCATCCCACCAGTTTCATTTTGGAAGATGCCCTTACTAAACCTGAAATGGCTACAGCAGTCACTGTGCTTCGGTGTACAGCAAAAATAAGTATTTACCTTTCATTAGAGAATCTGATTCAGCAAATTACAGGACAGCAATTCATCAGCATAGAAACTGGAAAGAGACAGAAGCAGTTGCCTTGCTGTGTTTTTCTGCTGCTTAAAATCGTGTAAAATCCACAAAGATTTAATTGTTAAAACTGGAAAACATCAGCTAGACCTACACAGCAACAATAAATTGAACATATGATTACTTATTGAAATGCGAGTCAACATCTTGCAGCTAATGAAGTAAATGGTAGCATTATGGCTTATTACGGATCATGTGCAGACAGTGCAGTTTTGGTTCCACTTATCACTAATATTCATTATTTGGATTTCCTGGGATACATATACATAGAAATAAGTCCTCAGGTTCAAATCTTGGGGATCTTTTTGTAAACATTGTGTTTATAACAATGGAAGACAAGTAGCATACATAGAGACGTGTCTTAATTGAGTTGTTCAGTGCAACTGTGAGAAGCAGAAGGAAGAAAAAAAAGCAGGAAAGAGGAATAAAATTTACTTTTTTACAATAGCAACATGAATTTGCAGAAGAGGATGTGCATTTCAACATCAGCCAGATTTCTTTCTAGAAGCATTTTTTCAGACACTGATACACATTTCAGCACTGTAGGTTGCATATGAAATAGCTTTTTGCATAGTAAGTCAAAAGGCTCTTCTGAATTTAGCTAAGTTCAGGTTGCAGGTAGGCACTTGAATAGGAGAATACTGTCCTGCTTCTTCTTTAGGTTTCCTGCTCCATTAAAATGGACAACTTCACAGTCAGAGTTCAGCTACCTAACCTCAGGCTTTCACAGATTATGTTTGCAGCAAAGAGCTACCAAGTATACCTATGCAGTTTTAAAAGAGGGTTATCCACACAGGAAAATCTGAATCCATTAGTTTTCCAAAGCCTACATAGAGATTAGGGGCTGAGCTGGCTCTCAGATCAGACAGGCTCTCAGATCTAGAGCTGAGGTGGTTTTTCATGCTCCAAAATAGTGTATTCTCCAGCTACAGCAAAGGGGAGAGAGCACTGCAGGGATTATGGATTTGTTCAATATGTTTCTCATTTCCTCCCCTCCTGTTGTTTTGTTTTGTTTTGCTTTGTTACAGGTGATACGATATTCATTATTCTTAGGAAACAGAAGCTCATCTTCTTACACTGGTACCATCACATTACTGTGTTACTCTATTCTTGGTATTCCTACAAGGACATGGTGGCTGGTGGTGGCTGGTTCATGACCATGAACTATGGAGTACACGCCGTTATGTACTCTTACTATGCCTTGCGGGCTGCTGGCTTCAGAGTCTCACGCAAGTTTGCCATGTTCATCACCTTGTCGCAGATCACTCAGATGTTGATCGGTTGCGTGATCAATTACCTGGTCTTCTCCTGGATGCAGCAGGGCCAGTGCCATTCCCACGTGCAGAACATCATCTGGTCCTCTCTCATGTACCTCAGCTATTTTGTGCTCTTCTGCCATTTTTTCTTTGAGGCCTATATCGGCAAAACCAGAAAAGAAAGGAAGGTTGACTAGTGATAGAAACGAGAAGCCATAGCTCAGGGTCATCAAGAAAAACAAAATTACAAGAAAAGAAAAGAAAAAGGCACAAGGAAACACATATATGTATGGTGCAGCTAAAACTTGGCAGCTTAGGGAACGTTAGCTTGGTTTAACCCAGTAAGTTTATGATCCTATCATGGTGAGGACTCACTGAATTCTACTCTATCTCAAAGGACTGCTGATGAAAGACAACTTCCTTCTTGTACCTGTCTGCTCTAGAAAAGAAAGAAGAGAAAGAAGAAAAGAAAGAGGGAAAAAAAAAAAAAAAGGGAAGAAAAAAAGAGAAGAAAATAAATGAGAAAATTAATAATATTGAGGAGGGGAAAAGTACAATAAACAAGCATTGTGTTTCCCCAGAGAGGAGAATAGACTTATATTTTTTTTAAATAAAAAGTTTCTAATTCCTTTCTAGTAAATTTTCAGCTGTAAACTTGAACAAAACAAAGCAGAGAGTTGGCAAAATAAATCTGTCTGTGATAACAGTAAAATTACAAAATTAAAATCCTTTCTATAGAAGGTTCATACCTTTAGCCAAAATGAAACTCAAAAGGCTGTTTCCTGCATGGGAAGTGGCTGAACTCCACACTGTGGTCACAAGTGGAAAAGAGAAGAGATTGATTTCTCCGCTGTGTCCTCTGCTGGGGAAGCAGATCTGGGATGTAGTCTCGCCTGCCTCAGAAGGTGGAAAGGAGCAGTACTTTTACAAGAGTTTAACGTGAAAAGATGCACTGTTGCAATACATATCTCAAAGAGTGCGTTTTCCCAGTGCATTTTTCAGTTCAATGCAAGGAATTTCTGCAGCAGGATAAGTCAGATAAGGTTAAATCAATCAATATATGCTAATTACATGGGGCTAATAGCAGAGGGATGTTCAGGAAGGAGGGGGAGACTGCTCCCCTCACGTGATTTTTAGAAATTATCCGTTAATCTCAACCCGCAGCAACTCTGAATTAAATGGGGGAAATCAGAAGAAATCCTAGTTAGCGAGAAGAGAGTGATATATCTGCCTACTGTTTTCAGAACAGAGCCTTGTGGCACAATACAGATTCCATATTTTTGTGGACACAAGGATACCTGCCTGGGTGGAAAGAGGTGGCAGGACTGTGCAACATTGGGTAACACTGTGCTTCTGCATCTGCCTCCTGCGCAGTGCAAAGATGTTCAAAGTGCCCTCCTCTGGTTATGTGGAGATACTACTACAAAACATACTTGGAATAGGTTTTTCCTGAGATTTGTGTAGGAAAAAGTAGTCTAAATGGAGTAATTTTGCTGCAACAGCTTAACTCTAAAGTCCAGAGAGAATTATCCTTCCATAAATAAACATGTCTCTCTCTGCAGAATCTGTACTGTAACATCAGACTGACCACTTACGAAGATACTCTTTCTTCTCTGAAGTCAGCTACAGATATAAGGAGAAATGTATTTCACTCTGAACCTTAGAGAGTTAGTTGAGAACAGCCATATTCTTTCAAAGACAAGTAGGTTGCATTATCTGTGATATTCCAGTCCTTACAAAGCCAAATAAAATGTGTAAAAGTTCCTAGTACTTCAAAGACGCAAGTATGTAAACTTGATGTTAAATGTGTTAATGTAGTATTCTAAATTGTATCAGTTAGGTAGTTTAACTAAACAATTAGAAGAACTAGCTCAACAAAATAGGGACTGCTGTTCTGCATAGGATATACACACACCTATAATTACACCCATATATACATTCTGTGAATTGTCAACAAGAAAAAAAAAGCCCAGTGGCAGAGAATCACGTTTCCCAGCTAATGCAAAAGATTGTCATTATCTTTCTTGCTTTAATTTGAGATTGTACAGTACAAAAGGTGTTGGATTTTTTTTCTTCAATTATGATTTTTAGCTTTAATTGTGCCGTCATTCATGAAACAAAGCTGCTTTAGTATCCTGTTAAGACATTACTTAAGGGCTTTCAGTGTCTCATTATATACAAAAGAAAAATAAAGTTACATTCCTTGTTATGTGAATGGTCTTACAATTCAAAAAGCCTTTGCAGGCCAAAATCATAATTATAACAAGCAGAAAATGAGTTTACATTTGTGTTATTTAAGTTACTGATGTGCTGATGTTATTTTATGGTACAAAACAAATAGCAAAATGTGATATGCAGTAATGAAGCTATGATATTCATTAATAGGACTACTGTATACATGGAAATATTAGACAAAACCAATTAAATGTGTAAACCATTTTGTTATACAGCTTGGGAGTAGATAATTGTAATGCTGAGTAAGCCTTTTCCTCATGCTTAATTTTGCCCTGGCTAAGCAGCAGGTTGAGAAGACCGTTAAGCGTGGAAAAGGCAAAATTAGAGTCAACTTCATTTAGGTGAGAAGCATTGGTAGAAACCCACCTTTGTGCCATTTAGACCATCAGTCCTGTGTGTCGTAGGTCTCTCCAATAGAGCAAAAGGAGGTGGAAGTGATCTGGCTCCTGGAGCTGAAGCTGGGGCAGAAAGCTTGGACCCTGTGAAGTCAGTGGAGGCTTTGCTCTGCTTTGAACAGAGTGTTGTGTCCAACTACCTTTTCTCTGAGCAGAGAGGAAGGAACTGCACACATCTCCTGATAATTTGAGGCTTATGGCTAATGGCTTAAAAGCCCCATCAACTTTATCAATAAGAAGTGACACCACAGCAAGGCAAGGACTTGCAGCCTAAGTTTAACACAGGCAGAAAACAAAGTGGGTTGCAAACAACCTACCATGTTTAACACATTGTTTTCCTTAACTGCTTAAGACAAAAAAACCTCACCAGAGCATGCTGGATGGCAGTGCTGGCAATGCCAACACTGACTTCAGTGGAGCAAGAATTTCAGCCGTTCTTACTCCAATCTCCCAAACCCCTCACAGGTACCTCTGCACCCTTCCCAGCTCCTGTGCCCAGCGTGCCCACTGAGGACCACCTGGGAAGTGGCTACAGTACAGAAACCAGCCCAAGTGACCTCCTTAAAACACAGGGCAGGTGTTCCCCAGGTGTGCAGGGGGAACTTGGTGCTGCATTCAGCAGGTCCCCTGACAGGTAACAGGGCTGCAGGCAAACATGTATAGGAAAGGGGCAGCAGGATCAGACACATGAAAGATACTGGTAAATTAGGGTACATCTGTCGTCACTGGAAATTAGTTGTCACACTGCCATTTGCTTCAGGAGATGACACATCATATGTGTATTTCGATGGGTCCTGTAGCCATCTGCTGTTGTACAGTTGGGCTTTTCCTCAGGTTTTCCACAGGAGTCAAATGTGGTAACTGGCATTAAAGAAACTGAGCATAAGACCAAACCAACATACACTGTTTTTCTTACCTTTTTTTTTTTTTTTTCCCTAAAAAAACACATTTGACTGCAAAAATCACATTCATTAATCTTACATGAGCACCATAACCCAAATAGCCTTCAGCCTGCACCACTCTGTGCAGAAAGCCTGAGGTAAGCTAAATAGTAACATATACCTCTTGCTCTAAATGGTTTATCCCAAGCAATTAGGCACCAAGAACAGTGAAGATAATTGGCATGCTACAAATGCTGCACAGTGTATCAGTCACAACCCCACCATTAATTAGTCCTCACTGCTCAGTTCTTCCACCCGTATCAACTTCTCCCTTATATTCTGATTGCAGGCTCTAAGCAGACACGAGCTCGTTGCATTTGTACACCATTTAGCACAGGTGGCCTTAATTAGCAGCCGGTGCCCGTGAACGTTACAGTAGCATGATCTTAGACATCACATTTAACTCACACATATTTTAACACTGAGCCAGTCAACTCGAATGTAATGATGCCTCAACAATGCTCCAGCTGTTCCAAGCCACAAGATATAAACACAGTTAAATGGGTCCTGTTTATTTCTCCTAGTTTGAGCCTTGGAGTCACAATTTCAAATTTTTCTGTCCACTACCCAGACCCTTTTTCTTTTAATTATTTTAAATAAAGCTGTAATTCTGTTACACTTAGAGACGCCATGGGGAACACAAGCTTTATATAAATTATCAAGCATTATGGGACCTGTGACAACCACCACAGATGCTGGAAATACTATTATGAGATTCACTGTTAGAGTCAGGAAAGTTACACTGGTGATAAAGTCAGTCTGCCAGGATTTACACTTAGGTAGCTGCAATCAGAATTTGGCTCTTCCTGAACACTACTTCTGTGTAATGAAGGCTTTAAGGAAAATATTTTCAGCTAGTTAGTGGAAGAACAAAAACTTGAGTAATTCTGAAGTCTCTTTAGTTTTGCCCGTGATGAGAAGGAAATGCCTTGTGCTTACAGACCTTCTGTAACTTGAAGGCACAAATTACTTATGTCTGGGCTCACTGATAAGACCTAACTAAGAGTGGCTGGCTCCAAAAGAGACCTCTCATCAGAGTTTGACAGTGAATGATTACAAGCTTTTACTTACAAGATAGGAGCAAAAGTGTGCAAAAGGAATTACTCAAAAAAGCCAAGCTGAGTAGAGTAGGAATAAAGGACTGAGCACTAGTTGCAGGAGAGACATGGAGGGACAATAGCTTTTCCATATCCCAGGATAAAGTATTTCCAGTCTGAAAACTCACTCCTTCCTAAGATGAGGAATGGCAAAGCAGGAGAAGGGTGGGCTGTGTAGTGCCCACGTTGAGGGGGGCTGGCATGAAGGGGTCCCTCCAGCAGAAGTTAATTACACAAGGGCTACCTGTGTGGTAGCAAGTGTGGGTCTGTGGATTCGTTCAGACATCCATGGTCTAACAACTTGTGAACTTCAAGACCTGGGTGTATTTCATTTTTTTCTCCTGAAAGTAAAAACCTGGGATGACGTTTTAGTTGAGAGCAGTGGTACCTCAGGGATCAATATTCAGGTGGTTTTCAGGCAACAAAAAATATAAGACAGCAATTATTGTGACTGTGAAACAGCAGCCTTTGTAAGCAGTGCCAGATATATTAGTGCAGTAATAACTCTAGTAGTTGTAGGCTATCCTGTACTTCAGAACCAGTAACAGAAGTGTAACATACTTATATACAAATCATACAGGCATACTTTAAGTAATAAAAATTACTTTGATCAAGGAAGAAATCAAACCAAATTGTGGACCATACTGCATAAATTTGGGACTTGGTCCATTGCTTACTGAAAGTGAAATTGTTGGTGAGAAGTCAAGTGACTTCAGTGAGCTCTGCTTCAGTTGCAGGGAGTGATGCAAGACCTAAATCCCCTTGTGTTTACTTAGTGGTGACATGAACCACTCAGGCCAGCACACAGGCCCT